TGTTTTCACTTATTTGACGACAAATGCCACTGAATTTGACATAGTGAAAACCAGCCTTTAAACATAACGATTATGAGAAATAAAATTAAATATTGCTGTATAATTATTACTGAACAACGGAAAAGTTGTTTTCGTTTCGAAAATTGCTGGACCAAAAACTTTTTCTTCTTCTAATAATTATCTGGGACTTTTATTTTCCTTTCGCCTCGTGTATTTCAATACGGAAATGATTTAGTTATGTCTTCTCTTAATAATTATATACTAATTCCACAAATTTTCATCAAAATCTCAAACTTAAAAATATAAATGTTTTTTTGTTTTTTATTGGTTGAAGGTGTTATTAATTTTCTTCCATATAAAGTAGGTTCGCAAATTTTTTTTATGGAAGAAAAAGCGCAACACCCACAATAAAAAAATCTCAAACTCAACACGATTTTGTAGAAACTTGAAACTGAAACTGCATACTCAGAAAAAGGTATGCAAATTTGTTGAATTATAAATTTTGTATAAAATTTGAAAATCGGATTTAAATGGTTTTTGTTATAGAATATCCGATATTTGTATAAAAATAATAATTTTTAAATAAGCAAAAGGAAAACTGTCAATACTAAGGATCAGCAGGGCGCGCTATTCAAGTGGTCGCCACTGAATAAGTTATGAGAGAATTATGCTCTATTTACAATGTGGGGGATCTAATACTACCTTCGTAAAAGCAATACGATAATCCTTTAACCATATCTTTTTTGTTTCAAAACCTAAAAGCTATTTTTTACAGTCTCTGCAATATTGGTCTCAACATCGCTCGGTGGTCTTACCTGAATTCTGAAGGAGATATGTGCGTTGAAAGCATAACTTTCTGGTGCAGAAGAGGTCCGAGGAAAAGATGTCACTCAAGGTAAGAAACTGTTTATTAACTTCCCACAAAACCACCTTAGTATAAATCCCCAGGCACTGTCCTTATGCAGGTTTCTCGCATCTACGAGCGCTAAATAGAGGGCAAAAAGGGCTTAAACAAAACAAAGCGTGAATACCAGATAATCATGAAATATGATGTGTAAACATCTGTTTCCCGCACTAGGTAGTCCTGAACTAGTCTCGAGCAGTGTTGCTAGAAAAGCTGTTTAGATTTGTTTTCATTTGCGCTACTTCGGAATTCGGCTCAAAGCAAAGATGTTTCACATCAAAAAGCTTGCTACTAGAATAGAAAACTACTTATTTCTCTAGGAATAATTTTCAACGAACCCATTTTCTTTACTCATTAAATCTAAGGTTTAGAAAACCCGACTCCCGAGGGCATCCATCTCAGCAACGACGGCATATAGTTGACCCACCCACCGACTGCTTACCCGCAGGATGACGAGTTCCGACCTTGGAGTACTCAATCTTCACTCCTATGGGCTAAATAAGACAATGAATGGTGGATGCATACAAAGTACTTTTTCTTAGTTTGCGGCTATAACCGACTATGCCAGCCGTTCCTCCTTCTCGCCAGCTGGCAGCAATTAGAAACAACGAGCAAAGTTACTATATGTGTATGTATAAATATAAAGAGACCTTATATCAAGCAAACGTACTGGCCATCCAGGAGTTGGCACAGGGTGAAGTTACGTCTTTATACAGCAACGCAGAGGAGTCCTTTCTCGCCCCCACCCATCTACCTTCATTTGATCTAATTGCTGGAAATGTGCCCATTATTCTATCAGCAAGGTTTAAAGAAGTTGTACATACATAGATCGAGCGTTCAGCAACAGAATGCTTTCCGATGTCGCCTGAGCACCAACTACATAGCGACAAGGCTGTAAAGCTACCTGTGAGGAGCATAGCAAAATGCTCAACAAGCAGTTTTTGGTGGTGGTGGGATGTCACAGACGTAAGCACCCAGACAGGACCCTGCTCGAGGAAGACCCTCCGCCCAGGCAACCTTTGGATGCGACGACGTACCGACGAGTGATCAACGGCATTCATAGAGAGTCGGTCACAACGCTCGACTGCCACGGAAGACTCGCGTTACTTTGGCCCAATTACGGTTAGCATCCAGACTCGACTCCGATATCCCCAGTGAGTGTCCGGTATGTGGAGACTCCCCATAACACCGACAATATTTTCACATTTCAGCTCAGTACCGGGTACACCCTGCTCCTTCTGGTCCAATCTTGTCGAAACAACTGGTTTCCTGGATCTACGAGTTAGCGGGTGCTTAGTAGTGCCGCTTCAACAACATACCATAAGTAGTCGAAGACGACGAATACGAATATGGTGACGAAGAAGTAGGACGGATGATACGAAAACGAGTACGAAGAGGAATATGAAGGCGAATACGAAGACGGAAGCGATTACGAAATCGAAGAGGAAAAAGAGAAGCAGACGATGTGGATAAATATGAACACGAACGAAGACGAACCCGAACACGAGTACGAATAAGAAGACGAAGGCGTACGAGAAAACTAATACGAGCACAAACACGAACAAGAATGCAAATGCGAACACGAATACGAACTTAAATACGAAGGTAAACATGAAAACAACAACTGCCATTAAAATTATTTACAATTACGAATGCCATTAGCTCTATCTTTACCATAACGTTGACATGACAAAAAAAGTCAAAAATTAAGATATATTTTCTAAGACTTATAAAATAACGATTATTTTCCAAGCAATAAATAATTTTGAATTTTAATTTTTTATTTAAAACTTAAAAGATAAAAATCAGTGCCGCTGAAGATAGGCCGAGTATCAATGTTGGTTTACTCCTTATGCGCGCAGCATTTCTCTTTCGGCATGCTTTTTTTGAGTCTTAACTTAAAAAAAAAAAAAAAATCATTTGCGGTGCCTGATATCATCAGTATGGAAAAGTGCGAGTGTTAATTTTAACAGCGTTCATTTACGTAGATTCTACAGTGATTTTAATAGCTATCACAATTCTTAATTTGTCGCTAATCACAGCGTTGAAATGTCTTAATTACCATTTACATTACTATGTGTAGTTGTTGTTGAATTTTTTAAATAATTTTTTTCAATGCACTTCAAAATGCATTCACATAATTGTACAACAACGTATGTATCTACTTACATACATATGTATGTATGTATGTATGCGTTTTGTATTAAACCATCGAATCACAGTATGTCTGTATGTACGCCCCTGCACATGTAGGTACTTGCAATACAATACTTGTATGTAGATTAAATAAATCTTAGCATTAGATTATTATTAAATAAAAAACTGAAAACCGTATCGGACTATATTATTTTGCTAGTCGGCCGACAAACTGATCACACAGTTATTATCAAGCAGCGGACAAGCGCGGATCAAGCCGAGTCAATTGCGAGTTGAGCAACGACGATAGATAGCGAAGGAAAAAAACAACAAAACCAAAACGCACAAATCCTCGCCTAAAGCTGGCCAAGCAAAGCAACATTCGAAAATACCTTGATTTTCAAATTGCTTACGTACAAAAGCGTTGTTGGGCTTGAGAAATACAAAAAAAAAAAAAAAATTTAAAAACAACTACTGCAAAATTTGAAAAAAAAATTGAAACTTAATTTGTGTAAATTGTAAGTTCAACAAAGTCGTATGATATTAATACATAAATAAGTACATACAATTAACCCATTAAATACATTAAATATGTAAGCGACATTTACAAGGAAAACTCAATACGAGATTGCAATTGAAAAACATTGGTGTTGCATGCGTCGAAAAAAAAAAACATTACATGTGACGATAATCTGAGAAACAAACAACAAAAAAAAAAACACAAGTGACATAAGAACGTTTATCTGTGGAATTTGGTCCCGAAAGTATTTTTGTGCCGAGGCATTGTTGTTGTCAAGTGTGGATAAATATTGCATCAAAAAAAAATATGCGAATTTATTTTGTTTATACAAACTAAAGTAAATTAAAAAGTGCGTGCTGTCTTTCTTATCAGAGGCAGCCAGTAGCCGGCACGCTTCATTGCGCATGTTTGCAGGCGGCGCAGGCACTGGCCCTGAACGGCGTTGCTTTGTGCGTTACACACTTGCACGAAAAACTAGCGATGTTATTTGAAAGGATTTGATTTCTGAATATGTAATGGCGTTTTCTTTTCTAGCGAAAAATGTTGCCTTCTCAGTGCCCTCTACGCACAAATACTAAGGAGAGGGCAATGATTTTTGTAGAAAAGGAAACGTCATAAAATATTATGGTTGAAGAATTTCCAAAAATTTTTGAATATTCATATTATATATTTGCAATTGTATAATACTTAGTTGCTGGAATTATAATTTGAGAATCATAATCAGCAAATATTTTGCTATCTCATTGTGACTAATCGCAATTAAGGTTTATACTAGTCTTTCGTAAATAGTAATGTGAAAGCAGAAAAACGGAAATTATTTACATGCTTTCGCTTTAAAACCTTATCATTTGATTATTGAAACACGCAATTTTTTAATGTTTAACCCTAGATGATACATTGACAAAAGGAGTCTTTATTTTATGTTTTGGTTTTTGCGGTGAATTTTTTAGACATGCATGTGTGTGTATTATGATGAATCACTCTTTATACAAAAAAATAATTTATGTACTGTTGTTCTCCCGTCGGACCTACGCCAAAAAAATTTCGAAAAAATATTAAGATTTACGTTAGCTGGACCTATTTGAAAATACTTCCAAATATCTAAAAATAAAATTAGTGTTAATTTTTTCTGATTTCTTTCTTGAAATAGGCCACCAGACCACTCTACATAAAATTATGGGTCTGACCATATTAGCACACAGCCAATGTACCAGATATTTCGCAGATTCACAAATTTTAAGATTATTTGGCGCCATGTGAGAACTCGTGCTGTTATAGCACACAGCCATTTTGTGCTACATTCAATTGATTGCTGCAGTTGAAGTTTTGTAAGCCCGTCTGATCCTGCTCATTTGTATGGCTATAAGGTTTCTATAACAAAGAAGTTCTCCACTTTGGAGATAATCTATTTGGTTATACCTAGGTTTAAGTATACCACGTATACGTTACCACCCTATTTTGTAGAAACTCAGGTTTCAGGATGTTTGGGATGCACCTTCCTAATCTACGCCCCACCCGAAGCCAATTCCACGCTGCCGAAGAAGTACCTCTAGAACGTACTCATTGCTTTGTTTAGGAGACTTTTGCATTTCTCGCAGATTCTGTGGCTATGCTTCTCAGTGTTGCTTCTGAGGCACACCGGCGTCGAGGGCAGCGAGGAGGCCTACAGGGTTGCCAAAGAGGGTACTTTGTTGGAAATCATGCTGATAGAGGAAATGCCAATTTTCTTCTAAGCGATTTAACGTGAACTCGACCTGTCCATGTTCCAGAAGGCGCAGAAAGCGTGGAACAAAACACAAGGCTGGAAGGTGTCTAGAGTTATGTATCTGTAGAGCGTATGACATGAAGCTTACGAGGTTTTTCCTTTCCCTCAAGCAGAAGGACGCTAAGCTACTAGTGGAACTAATGGTCCCCGCGATGACCCCAATCGATGAATAAGCGATGGTTCTTTCAGTTGGCATAGATCGTGCTATACGACGCACATACTATACTCGTATATATCACATAACTCATAAAAATGTAAACCTTATATCAAGATTTCCACAAAAAAACGGTCTTTATTTTGTGTAAAAATAAAATGCGTCATCTAGGGTTAAATTTAAAATCAGAAATGGTTTCTATCTTTTAATTCTACATATTTATATTAATTACAAATACAGTACCCACACATAAATCGCAAATACCAATACTCAAAAAAAAAAATAAGTACGTTGCGGAAAGACTTGAGACTTTAATTTTCAAGGGCTGATTTTTTACGATTTTTTGGCCCAAGGGTTATCTCTCAAATAATAGGCGTAAAAGGCGGAAAAATTACAGTGATGTATGGTACATAAATAGGCATATATTCATACAGATCTACATACTTATGTACAGTAAGTGAAGCCACATGTGTCACATTCGTGAGAATCACAATAATTTATAAAAAGATCACATATGTAAGTAAGTAGCTGATAGCTTTTCAGTACAGTTAAAGGGAAGAATACTTGTATAGAATACCGTAGGAAGCTAAAATATCTCCTTCGACCACAGACCTTCAAAATACCTTCAAATGTGGGCTGTGTAGGCGAGATTTAACACCTAGAGCCTAAATGCATACCACTTATACATACTCGACGTGTATGTACAGTTGGAAGTACAAAAATGTTCTATAACAAGACAATATATTCCGTCTCTTCAAGAAAACGGTCAAGAAAAAATTGCCATTATTTCGAGTGTACAAGGAGTTTTGACATCTGATACTTCACCAGCCTGTTACCGCACTCTTTCCAATGGAACGGGCGTATATTTCTGTTGCAAACTTAGGTTGCCGTATGCACTTTTTTCACAAAAAAATTGCATACTGCCTCAAGAAAATTTTACACAAGAAAATTTATTAGCCATTTCTTGTACGTCATTTTATATGGAGTTTTTGCTTTTCTTAAGTGCTGCATATTGGCCTTGAGGGTGAAAAGTTGCCAAGTAAATTTTTTTTAAATTATTCAGGAGAGACAAAAAATCGATGCAGTTTCTTATTACCTGCCATTCTGCATCAAAAACTAAATTTTGAAAAAAATAGACTTCGCACCTTTTCGTCTTTAAATAGCGTTATAAATTTCTCAACTTGTTTATTGCATCACTCCACAAACTCATTCGGAGTTTACTAAACAGTAAAAGCCAATTCTTACAAGACGTCGGTACTCTGTATGACTTCAAGATGTGCAATATAGTTCTAATTTTTTATGAATTATTTCGTATGTGTGTCAATCGAAATGGGTTTAAAAATCTTTAATTTAAGTGCGTGTAAGACTGGCGATTTGTGGCGATTTTTTCCGTTCAAATAATTTTTTTCCAATTATAAAATTTTACAAAACTTAGTTTTCCACGATAATTTTACAGAGGAGGCTAATAAATTGCGTGATAAACTTGCTTAAGAAGCATATTAAAAGACTGTCAAAAATGTTGAATCACCCTAATCGAAGAACTTTTGAAACGATTACCTAGTCAATTAAATACTTTTAAAAAACCTTTGATTTTTTCACCAGAAAAGTGTGTGAATCACAGGAGGGCGAGTTTCAGGGATTCAGGCCAATTCACTACTTTCTGCCTACTATTAAATACTCTAATCGAATAGACTCTCCGATTTGAAGGTCAGTTGAACAAATTCCCGTTGAGTTTCCCGTAAAAATAGAAACTTGGAAGCGTTCATTAAAAATAGGCTTATTCCACACATTTCTTTGTGGAAACATCTTGCCGAAGTTTTTCCTGAACAGAAGCGAAGGACAGATGTAGTCAGATTTTTGACGAATGCTTGGGTCGTTGAAAGAGTATAGGATACGTCCATGCCCGTATGTACGTTCTTCTCTGAGTTCTCTCAACCTCAGGGCTCTCTGTAAAGTGTTTTCCTTAATAAAGAGATCAGTCGGTGGCAAATAATCTGATCGCCCCCGTAATCGCAGTCCGGGCTTAATCTCTACGACTTTTCGCCAAACCAAATTTGTTTGAATAGCCTCGATAAGGCAGGAAAACTAGATTTTATAGTTAGTTATTTAGCGAAGGTTGTATACATATCATTAGAAGAAGAAACGGAAATATCAAAGGTTGGTTACTAACATACATTCATACATACATACATATATAGGTATGTATGTACGTATGTATGCATTTAGGTAAGCCTCAATTATTGCATGACTCAATTTCCGATTGTATAACTCTGTGCTTTATCAATCGTAGATATGTAAGTTTAACTTTAGACGCAATTGCGAAATTTAACCACCAATTAGTTGTCATCAATAATTTGATAATTTGTAGCTGATATCGCACGTATGTACATACATATCTACGCTCACCTCTCCTCTGCTCCACCGCTCCTCCTCTACTCCTAGTCCATGTATGCACGTGTGTGCTTACTTTCTATATTTAATCCAGCTGTAAATTTTTGTTTACAACCGGCAAGTGTTGTTTAACTGTAATATTTATAATCAGTTATTTAGTCAGTGGCGGCGAGTGATTCGATTTTGGGACCAAAGAGTTTTTCGACATGGCGTTCAATTCAACGCTTCCTTATCGCGGAGGCCAAGCTGACTTGTTTACTTAAAAAATACTCATACCTACAAACTTTGCGCAATACTGTACGTACATACATACATATGTATGTATGTAGGTATTTGTTTTATATGGATCGGGTGATCGGTGGTCTTCAGTAAACTATTTACTTAAACATAAACAAGATTATTATTGCACATCGATTAAGATACCTACAATGTGTGAGTGTACTTATATATGTGTGTGTAAGTTTATATTCGTATTTATGTTGACATTATCCAGGATTATTTTCGAGTTTAATTCCTAATCTTGGATTAAGAATGCAGATTATCCATATAAAGTTGCCCCCCTCGTTAATCTGTAATTATATAATAAACTCAGATTAAACCGATAACAAAGGCCTGCTATGATTTCCCACTTAAAAACGCCGAATAGCCATTTGGGTAGGTTTTAGATAGTATCTCAGTTAAGGAGGAA